TAATTGGCAGCCTGATCTATAAGGTAGTCAACTTTTAGGGCTCCCATGAACAGTATTATAACGGGCGAGTTCTGTGTGCTGAACATTGTGACATTAAAAACTATCCCAATGAATAGGCTTACAGTTTTGTTACAGTTTCTTGCTGTTTTTAAAATGTTCCATTAAAATTGTGCAATATTTTTCATCATTTAATATATGGCAAGGGTTTTATTTTCTATGCTCTTTCAATAATGAGGGATTTTGGGCATTATATTTTTGCAGTAAAAATAGTCACTGCATCTGAGTATGTTTTGCACTGTGTGTGTATTTTTTTCTGCCCAAAAAGAACCAACTGTATTAAGTGTGCTTAAAAAAAATAGTCAAAATATAGTTTCAGTTGTTTTACATGCCTTGAATAAGTGTATTAAAATGACCCAACACTAAAATTATCCAACCAGGTAAATATCTCATGCATAAAATAATTTCTGTTGTGTTTTATCTCACAGACTTTAACAGAAACTCAAAAGCAGCTCACATCCATTCCATAGTCTAGTTTATCCTAAACGAAAATGCTGACTGTAGTACATTTGGTATGGATTCCAGGGCAACCATCTTTAAAATCTTATTATATTTTCTCCAGAAAGGGTGAAGGCACTCTACAGATATGAACTTGAGAGAGTGGCTTGTGTAACATGATGTTGTTTACATTTGCAAGATACACAATGGAGGGAATATTGGTATACCTCAATGTTTTACTTTGATGTACTAGGGCTGAAATTTCTTTGGATATTATACTTGTGGAAATTGTACATGATCTAAGCACACAGCTAACTAAAATGACTGCTCTCTTGTTCTCAAAATATCAGCCTGAATTAGTCTAAAGTACACCATCTTTAGCACCTATTAAAATAGAGAACATGAATTTTGACAGACTAGAAAATACCAGCTTTTGAATGTGCAATGAGTAAATTACCAAATATATCAAATGTTGTTGTTGTTGTTGGGTTTAACGCCATTTTCCAGCACATGATAGGCTATACATGGCAGCCAGTATTAATGGTGGAGGAATAAACTGGGAAATCACCGGAAAGAACCACCAATCCACAAGAAGCTACTGGCAAGCTTTCTCACATAACCACATTTGCCAAATTCTAGACTCAAACCCACGCAGACAGAAGTGAGATGGCAGTGATGCATAACGAAGAGCGCTTTTGACAACTCGGTCACTCTGGGCCCCCTTATATCAAATGTAAAAACAATTTATTGACTTTATTTTTAAATTAACCTCCAAGTCCAGGACATGAAAATAATCAATCAGAGCTAGGAGTTTTTTAAAAGGTGAACATCTGAACTAAGGCCAAGATGTCTTCGGTTTACTCTACAACCAATATTACACGCATCAATCATTGACCAAATAAAGGAATTTAAAGTTCTTTGAACAGTACCAAAAATAAATAAGGTGTTTTTTAAATAGCCTATATAACCAATGAGGAAAACCTGGGAAATTCTTTTTCTTTAAAAATCTATCCCTATGCAAAATACAAAACTGTAGAGTGCCACCTGGATAGTTGTATCAACATGGATGTGGTTTTCACTAAAATACTTTCTGTGACATTGATTTGATTCCAAATAAAAATAGTTCCCATCAGATATGCAGTAGGTCACTATGATGGTCAGCCAAAATCATGTTAACTCTATAACCTATCAACATGGAATTTTTACTTAAACAATTCTTATAATATATAGATAGTCCTAAGTAAAAGTTAGGCCAATCTTACATCCAGCATGGCCATAATGGCAGCCATTTTGAAAATCTTGTTATTGCTATTTCTCCTGAATAGATGGTCAAATCAACATGGATTTTAATACAGACTTTTTGTGATTTTTTCTAATCTGATCTGCCAACCATTTCCACTATGGCGTCCATCTTAATAATCTCATGAAAGACTGGTTACATTGACATTGGGTATTCCCTAAAACGATTCTTAATATCTTTTTGCTGGTCATACCTAACAAAATGGCCACAATGACCTTTTTGAAAACCTTGCCAACACAAATCCTCTTTTAATGATAGTTGAATTTGACAAGAGGTTTCAGCTGACACATTTATGTTATTTGTTAAAAATTGAATTGATGCTGATCTGACTTTACAAATATTTGGCCACTGCAGGCAACTTGAAAATTTTCTTGTTTCTTTTCCTGGTTCTTTGGTAAGCATAGTGTGCTTTGACCAGCAGGGTGTCCATAGAAATCTTTTATTAGATCATCCCATGTCAGCTACCATGGTATTTCCCAGCTTTAGTATGATTGCCTTGTAAACCACCATACCCAACCATTCCTGGACAGATAGCAATATTAACTTGGAACTTTCACTTAAACAGTTCTTGCAATATATAGTTGGTGATTAGTGAAAATGGTGCATATATCACCTCTCACAGCATCCATCATAAAAATCCCACTATATGTTCTGAATGAACTGTCATACTGACATGGGGGAGTGGATATTTAAAATAATTGTAATATGTATGTTGGTCCTATATTTAAAATCATTTTGATCTAACCACTAAAATAGGCATCTTGCTTTTTCAGAATGGATAGTTGTATAACATGGGGTTTGCACAGTAAAAGTCTATAAAAACCATCTCCCAAAATGTCACTACTCCATCTGAACAAATGGTGACATTGACGTGTAGTTTTCACTAAAACACGTCTTGCACCACCATAATAATGTCGGCACCTACTGTGACAGGGTTTGAAAAACAGACCTACTTGACCTAGAAGATCAAGTCAAAGGCCACTGTATATCATCGAGTTTATGAACACGTTGATTTGCACACAAATTAATTTTGACCAGGCTTTGTATTTAGTTTCATTCCAGTAAGTATTAATTCATCTGCACTCTGATATTGATTGTCAGAGGTCTCGACTATGTTTTCTTTTATCTATAACGGCTTGTAAGTACGATCATACCAACAAGCATGAATGAATATATGTCAAATATTTTGTAAATATATATGAAAAATACCATGAATAATAACATCAGAATGTCATGAGTTTTGTAAAAAAAAATATTAATTATGGACGTAACCAAACTTAGGAAGAGGGTTATCTTAGAAATTATCTTAGATGAGTTTCATGATCTTCTATTCATGATATTGGGTTAATTATGAAATTAAGCAAACTTGGGATGAGAGTATACCTTTAGGAAGGAGTTCAGTGATCTTATCTTCATGATATTAGGTTCAGCCATGACAAAGAATTTTATACTGCACTCATTTTGTGAATATGCTAAATTGAACATATCCAAAATTAATTTTGTTACCCTATTTGGTATATTAGAGTTTTTCAAGAAAATAGAAATATTTTCACTAGTCAGCAGTTACAGATTATAAAAAGACAGAAGAAACAAACTTTTTAGGGATTCCTGGACATTTATTATTTCCATTATTTCAATTTCATCAAATATTTTCTTTGTTATTTCAATTAGACATGTGCTAACATATATAGATGCTAATAGCCCTGTATCTGTGAGAGCAGTAAAGTTCTGACACCCCAGTAATAGTCATTTTATGAATTTTGTATGCTTCTTTAACGCTCAGTTACTGTAATATCACAATATTTCTGACATGTTCGTCAAAGTGTTTTGAAAATTATCTAAACCTTTATCTGCAAATTGTTACATTTTTGGTTAACCTAATAATTCAGTATTTCATTACATTAAAAATTTTCAGCAGAAAATTCCAATAATTTATTTTGGATTTGATAATTTTTGAATTTGAAAATATGTCTGGTAATACCTGCTTATGCTGTATATGAGAAGTACAGATAGAAATGTTATAGACGGCATGATAATTTATAGTTATATTTCCAGATCTGCAAACAGCCAAAAATGACTGAATAAAGACCAGTAATAGTTTGCTTAGACAACGTGTTCAGTACAGACTTTATAACATAACTTGATTTGAGTTACATGAGTATCAGTACCAAATTATTCTTTAAGTGTTATTATACTTGTATTAATAAACTGCTTTATCTGCTATAATTCTGTCTTGGTTTCTTATCTTGCCTGCATTAACCAGTGGCTTCCGGAGCCAGTTGGAGGATGTGCCTTCCTTCCTATTGTTGACTGAGTTTGAATTATAGTTATGTGTAGATGTTCAACAATATATGACTAAAGCATATTGTAAGAGCTATCATAGAGTGATAACATTTTTTCCTTGGATGCATAATATAATGATGTTAACACTGAGAAGGTCTTGGATGTTTTAAGAGTTGGTAGGGAGGCTAAATTGACTTTTTATTTTAATAATTTCACTCTTTTTGTGCTTTAGTCATTTTTTTTGTATTTGGGGATGCCTAAACTTAGTTGACACTGTAAAGGGGCTGATAATCATTACATTCTCCAAGATGACAAATGTTACATTCCTTAGTAATAACCAACAGGTAAAATGCATATTCTCGAAGGTTATTTCATTCAGATATGCTTGCAAATTAGAAATGCACCTAATATGCAAAACTTTGGTATGATTAAACAACAAAGAAATCTTGTACTTAATAAAATTCAGCTTTTTTTTGCATTTATTGAAATGACTTCTCAACATTTTTTCCCACTGATCTTGAACCTAATGCAAAGTGATGTTACTCTTGTACTTCCTTTGGAAATGTGTGGAAATAATGCAACTTAATTGCAGAAAATGCAAGTTTTCATTTCTGCTTAATTTTTCAGTGATACGTCAAAAATAACTAATAAAACTCATTAAAGTTTTAAAAATTCTGAAAATATAAACACATAATTCTGAAATATAAACTTAAGTGTGTGTGTGATTGTGTGTTTTAAATTCTCAACATAGCTTTAATAGTTTTTCAGTCGTATGGCTAGTGTCTGCAGTGTGACGGTTTATAGTGATGTCTAGCACTGGGGGCTTCATGCCGCAGACACATAGCATGATGTCCCACCCAGTTATTAGGCCACCAGAGAGCCTAACAAGGCAGCTGTTAGTACCAGTTTAAAAGTCTTTGGATTAATTAGCCAAGGTTCAAACCATGACCTCCGCATCGAAGGTGGATGCTCTAACCACTAGGCCACTAGTTCAGTCCATACAATCAAGCTTCATTGATTCTTCTTACTGTGATAAACCCTTTAACACTGTGGCCATGCATGTATGCACAGGTAATACACAGTAGATTAGAACACAACCATTTCATTTCCATCTCTGTAATGCCTAATCATTAAAATTAAATTTTTGGAATTATAAAAATTGAAGTTTGATGCAGACTTGACCCTAGAAAAACTAATCAATAAAGCTTATCCATTGTCATTTCTTTGAAATTCTTTTCATCAAGAAGAGCACAAGTCCCTTCAAGGGAATCCTCTTTTTTGTTGATTTTATAGCACATTTAATAGATTATTGGATACCTCAAGCTGTGGAAATGATCATCAATATCATCAGTGAAGTGCAGGTTGATGATTGTTCTGCCTCCAAAACTGACACTGATCTCATAATCTTCCAAGGCATTGGACATGATCCTTCAAATAGAGATGCTGAAGAGAGTTTGTTAGATGAGGCACACCTGTCTGACTCTGGCTGTGGCTCTGAACCAGTATCCTCTGTTACCATTAACTGCAAGTCACTGTGTCATACAGTTTTCCTATAGTGCAGATTAGTTTTGCATTTATGTTGTACATTAGTGTGGTGCCCCACAAGGATGCATGCCATACTCTGTTGAAAGCCTTCTTGAAGTCTAGACATGATAGAGGTCCTGCTGGTGCTGCAGATACTTTTCACCGAGGATTCTAAGAGTGAAGATCTGTTTCATAGTGCTCCATCTTACCTGTTCTTCAACAATGTTTTCTGCTTGGGGTTTCATTGTGTTGAGGATAATCTTAAGGATAAGGATTTCTTGTGTGACTGATGAGGCTGATTGTTCAATAGTTCTGGCAGTTATAGATTCACTTTCTTAGGAAGAGTGAAGACCAGAGGATGGGTCTATGGGCTGCTGGTATACTGTCTACCCCATCTGACTAACCTTTCTTTGGTGCATTTTCTGCAGCCTCCACTTCTCTACTGAGGATCGGGTAGTCACCGTCTGTTGTGATCAGAGGGAAGTTAAGTAAAGCATTGTAAAGCTCTGAACAGTATTCCGTCCATCAGTTATGAACCTCGTAATGTTCTGTGAGGATCTTATCAGCCTTGTCCTGGATTGTACTAGATCTCCCGTTTCACAGTTGTCCGGTTTTTCACCAACCAGTAAACCTTTTTATTGTTATTCTAGTTAAGGTTTTTCTTGAATTCCTTGCACTGGTCCTCTATCCAGCTTTCCTTCGCGTTATTTAAGCTCTTCTTAACTTTTTGTTAATCTCCCTGTATTTTTCTGCTCCTTATTAGTCTTCTCACTTCCTCCTCAGTTTTCTTATCACATGACAGAGATTGCAGATATCTGCTGTGACCCAGGGCTTCTTTATCTTGTGATGCTTGCCAAGAATCTCATAGGCTTCTTTATCTTGCGATGCTTGCCAAAAATCTCACAGGCTGTGCCTATTACTGCCATATTGAAAGTGATGATCAAGGAATATAGATTTATTCTTATCCACCCAGAAGAATGAGTGATGCAAATTTGCTGTCTATTGATGATTCAAATGAGTGTGCCACACTTGGATCTTTTTAAGTTTTCCAAGTTCAAACTATATCCTTACCTGTCTTGGCTTCTTCTTCTGCTGGACTTTATGTCTTGACATTATTCCAATGGTAATGTTGCCTCTTTCCAGTGCTTTGATGGTAGTTGCACAAGCAGCATACTTATCACCTCCATCCTGATGTATAATGGATGGCGTGATCTTTTGTAACCCAGTCTGCGATTTGTAACCCAGTCTGATGTGAGAACTGTATTCATTATCATTTTGCTGTCCCAGATGTATCATGGGTAATTGAAACCTGCATATCCCTCTCCATGCAGGAAACCCAAGCCAATTTTCATTTTACTGTCTGGTTCTAATATGCAGCCGTTAAAGTCATCTAGGAACCATTCCGCCCACGCCGTTAACTTTAAATTGTTCCATGGATGCCTGATAGAAGTCTGATATGCATCAGAGTATTGACAAATTTTTTGTCAGTGTGTGAGAATTTTGGCTTACAATCAGTATCAAGAGGGAAAAGGTGATGGGCCAACTTACATCAGGAAACGTCAGCATGCAGCCTGCCACCACTACTAGTGGTCAAACCTTCCGCACAGTTGATATATTCATAAAAACTTGGAAGTACACTGTCATGGGCAGTACACATCGATGCCGAAATCAACGCTAGAAATGCCTAAACAAGTTTGGCTGACTTGAGACTATGCACAGATGTGTGAGAGAGCAGATGTATTCCGTCTGCAAACACAATTGAGGGTCTAGAAGAAACACTGTGTTGTCGACACAGCTTTATGCTTACGAAACCTGGACAAGGCACGGACCCCTTGCCAAGAAGCTGAACTATTTTCAAATGGGCTGCCTGTGGAAAAATGATGAGGATAAGATGGCAGGACAGAGTCCCAGGCATTGAAATTCCAACTCGGGCAATCATTCCAAACATCTACGTTCTGATGATAAAATCATAGCAGACCATATCACGCAGATGTCAGACAATAATCTACCAAAGACAATCTTTGACGGTGAGCGGAAGGAGGGAACGAGATCACGGGAATGTCGGAAGAAATGCTTCAAAGACTCCATGAAGTCATCACAGAAACACTTTGACATTGACTATGACTCTCGCGAAGATATTTGATAGGATTGATCCACGTAGCGCTGTATCGTTCACACTGGTGTTACAGATTTTGAGCTGAGGAGAATTGCAGAGGCAATGCAGTAGCACGAGCTACATAACTCTCAGACCTCTCAGATGGCCTAGTGTTTAGAGCGTCCGCCTCGGATGCGAGAGGTTGTGGGTTCGAACCCAAGCCGAGTTATACCAACGACTTTTAAAAAAAAATAGTACTAACAGCTGCCTCACTTGGAGCTCAGCATTAAGAGGTTAGTGTTAGGACTGGTTGGCCTTATGTCAGGATAATGTGACTGCGTGGGACATCATACCACATGTCTGCGACATGAGTGTATATGTGTGTGTGTGTGTGTGTGTGTGTGTGTGTGTGTGTGTGTGTGTATTGGTCTTGCTTGTCCCTACAAAACTCTCTTGTCCCTATCAAATTCATTTTCACCTACCTACCTACAGCAGCACATACTCAGATCAGTCACTTTCAACACAGTTGGCATTATTCCTCTAATGTCCAGTGACGTTAAATAAGCTATCAATTTTGAGAATATAAGTATAGACCGGTTTTTCCATAGGACTTTTAACAGGTTTTAGCAATAAATAGACAGTAGGGATTTTGAACATAATAGTTACACAAGTTGAGGCACTAAATATGTTCTGGGTTTTTCCATAGGATGTTCCTACAAGCTGTGACTATAAATAGCCACTAACAAGCTGTGACTATAAATAGACACTAACGTTTTGCCAGATAGTATTTTTTGTATTGTAATAGATAGTCTATTTCGTGAAATTTTATCTCCTCTTACATTTTAAGCTAACAAAGGAAGTTTAGATAGTGAATATGATATAATGGATGCTATATTGGGTGTAATGGACTATTTATGTGGTGTAAGGGTTATATATTTGTAAGATTATATCTCCTTTTCTTTTATTCGTAGTGAATAAAAGGCATTTTGGATATTGAGTATGATATGCTGGATAGCATAATGGTATGTATGATATTTTCGTGGTGTAAGGGTTAGTCTTTTTGTGAGATTTCATCTTCGTTTTTTTTTCTAAGCTAACACTTTCTCTCTGTGTGTGTGTGTGTTGGTCTTTGTTTGTCCCTATAAAACCCCATTTGTCCCTACAAAATTCACTTTCCCTACCTAACTACCCACAATAATACGTATTCAGGTCAGCATCCCGCAATACCATTGCCATTGGTGGCGCTCACCAGTTATTATGTACTTTTGAGAGAGTGATGTATGTAAGGTGAAGTTGTTTGCATTTTAAACATGCACAGTGGAGAGAATGTTGGCATACCTATATACTACTTTCATGTAATGAGGATGAAATTTCTTTGGATATTGTACTTTTGGACATTTTAAATGATCTTAGGACATTGCTAACTAAAATGACTGCTACCTTGTGCTCCAAAAATCAACCTAAATTTATCTAAAGTACACTATTCTTGGCAGCTATTAAAATATGGAAAATGAATTTTGCCAAACTAGATAATACCAGCTTCTAAAAGTGCAATGACTGAATTACCAAATACATAAAATGTAAAAAAAGTTATTTGCTCTTTTTTTTACAATTTACCTCTGAAGTTTGAGAAGTGAAAATGAGCAAGTAGAGCTAGCACTTTTTTGAAAGGTGCACATCTGCAATAAGGCCAAGCTGTATACTCTCTAACCCATATTACACCCATCAATCATACATCAAAATAAAGGGAATTAAAGGTTCTTTGAACAATGCCTAAGATATGCAAAGTCTCTTTTAAAAAACCAGTATAACTAGTGAGGAAACCCGGGGAAACTCTTTTTCTTTAAAATTTTAACCCTATGCTAAATATGAAACTGTAGAGCCCCACCTTAAAAACAAATATAAACATTTATGCAATTATTTTTCTTATTTTCATATTATTATGTGTGATGTTCTGAGTAAAATGGTACATTAACAATGATTTTATTCATGAAAATAAGCTAATTATGCTTATTTTTGCTCTAGCATACATAATTTACTATGAGGCATGTTTGGTTGAGTAGTGACCTTCATTATGGGGAAATTAGACGTCTTAGAATATAGGAATAAAGTCAACTTATATTGAACAATGTTACATTAAGTAAATGAAATGCATAGTGAAAATGTTTCATTTCATTTATTTGCAATGAAATTAAAAAATAAATGATAACAAAGCAAATTTGCTTTCTTCCATATCAAAAAATTAGTTAATATTTTACCCTTTGACCTTTGACCTTTATGAACCTCACCTGTTATATCCCTTTTATAACTGTAAAATTTATTGTTGACATCTCAGGAATAAATATGGCTAGTTTCATGTTCCTGTCTATCAGCA